AGCCTATCCTTCATAAGCTTTTGTCCTGGCAGTGCCTTTTCCTCCTGTGATGTAGGTCCTCTTTGGTATTTTCTTACAAAAGAGGCCTGTTTCGTCACATTTGAAGACTTGTTGGGGGAGGAATTCTTCAGCCTCTAAGAACTCCTTGAATTAATCAACGAATTCTTCGGCCCCATGTTTGTCCAAACTTGCAGCCTCGCCATGCCTTACCATACTGTGTATGCCAGTTTGCTTTTTGAATTTGTTGAACCAGCCTCTGCTGCCTTGAATTCATTAACAGTAGCATTTGTTCTAGGCATTTGTGAGATCCACATGCAACTGCCTTGCCTTTTGGCAAATTATCGCCTCCAAAACACTATCTCCCGCTAACTGAACTTCTCAAAGTTCACTTACTCACTCAAAACCAAATAAATACTGAATAACTGAACCTTATAAATTGTATATCCAAAATGTTACTCTCAATTATATCACATAAATGTTAAACCTAGGACCCAATCTAACTATTTTTTTAAATACACTACCTAACAGAATACTCCATTCTACTGAATGAACAGCAATGCATGCAACCATATGACCTGTCTTTGTAATAGTACTCATTTGTGCTTTATAGTTATCTGTTTACAATAATGTCTTATCACTGATTTCATCATTGCTTAGTTAATCTTAAGTTAATTTTAAGCCAGCCCGTAATGCTATGCATATAAGTGGCTTTGGCATGCTGCTCTTACCTGTATTTTTTTTGTACCTCTGTATGTATGCTAAAATTTCTAAATAAATAAATAAATAAATAGTTGATCCACACCAACAACTTCTCAACATCGACTGTGATCTGTTTCATTAGCATATTTACCCCTTTCACAACATCAGCTTCCTTTATTTCTTTTTTCTACACCAGGATCGAACTGATCACTGATGCGGCCTTCCCGTACATCCTGGCGAGAGCGGCCATGCGTACTCCACTTTCATACTTTGCTACGAGTTCTTTCTTGAATTCTACCACGTTTGTCTTTATCAAAGGGCTGGCACTCAGAACTTTCTTTGGCCCCAAGGTGACTTTAGCAGTCACACAAACAAGCACAAAAAACCAATGGATTTTATGAAATGTCTCGGATGAACACGAAGTGATGCTCACTCAACGAGAAACAAAGGTAGACAGTCACAAATGCATGGGATGCTTTGTGTGGGCACTCAAGTGGCCGCGTCACACAGATGGATTTGGTATGGACCACTTTCAACTATTAAAACCGAGCGGATGTACGAAAACTGGCGACAAAATTTCAACGAAGTTGTCGAAAACCGAATCTTACAAAAACTGGGGCATACGAAAACAGAGGTTCCACCGTTTTACTGAATAATCTTTAACTGGAAACTAATCTTATTGTAATTTTATAAATTACCATTCAACCTTTTCTAACTTGCCAATTACAAATGTAACTTTTAGCAAATAATCTTTTAATCTGTACCTTACTAGCATAACTAGTATCTTCCTATGAATATCTTGTAATACACACAAGCATAAGGACCTCCACACCTATGTAATCTTTTAGTGTTAATTAAGCATTCTAGTCCTAGTCAAAATTTTCCTGAAATAGTGCATACCATGGACTTTTAAAATATATTTATATACAGTATAATGTCTTTAAATAAAAATTATGGATAAAACTTTTGCAGATACCAATGCTCGATTTAAGGCCAATGCCAGCCAGTGACGGCTGACCTGTATACAGGTAATGTAATTTACATGTAATAAAATATTCTTAGGCACAAAAAGCTACTAGCATGCAGTGCATTTCGAGTATAGACTAATCCTAATGCTTAAAGAATTCTTAAGAACTAGACATGGGGTAGGAGTTTTTCAATGGTAAAAAAAAAAAATAATCGAGAGGTAGCTAAATGAACAATAGTGGCTATATCGACCTAAGAAAACTAAATATCAATTTTATGACTACCAACTTCTAAATAAATGTGAGCATTTAAGACATGCATAAAATTAACACTGAGAATAAATGCATTTGTAAAGATGAACCATCAGTGTAAATTGCAGCAGCATGAAAATGAGGCCAAAAGTAAAATAAAAAGTGAGAAGCAGCTGTAGGTATTTGAGCTTCACGCACAGCAATGGGGAAGAACAGACGTGAACCATTGGAACCTCCCGAGGGGAAAGAAAAGTTAGATGCTATGTGAACATATAAAGAGGGCATTTGAAGAGAAGCCAAGAGTGAATATGAAGAGAAATAGGACGAAGTACACCAGCGGCAATCAAATAAACCTCTACTAATATCTGATACCATTCTGTACGTAGGAGGATCATGAAGGTCATGAGAGGGGACAAAATATTGGAGGCAATGGGCATTACACCAAATATGAAACACTTGCCTCTGCATATAGGTCCTCGGCAAAGGAAGAATGAAAAGCACCTAAACACAAACGTAATCCCTGACGAATGGATCAAATTTTGAAAGAGTTGCAGGAAAGGCCGCAGAATATATCGTCGCCATAACCTAGTTTTGACAGAACGAGGGTCAAATGAAGTCGAAGAAGAGCTCGACAATCTGCCCCTAAGAAAGATGAGCAAGGGTTTTAAGGAGGTTCAGCTGGCTATGGCAAATTGCTTTCAGGGAGGTAATGTGAGATTTCCAAGACAGCTGGTGATTAAACAGAAGAATGAAAAATCTGACTATCCCAAACACCTACAGATCCTGTTACCTAACAACAGAACTATTTATTTTCCGCAGTATATAAAAATGTTGTTTACATGTAATTAAATATTGTTAAGCAGTGCAATCTGGGCAAACCAATCAACGGTAAATATATATACCTAAAAGTTAGCCAACTTAGGGGGTCACATCCTGGGGAGTGCTTATAAAAGAACCCCACCAGCCATATAACTGCTTTGCTTTCTTGGGCTATTAATCTTCTGTGACTAGTAATTAAAAAAAAAATTAAGTTATGTTTTGTATACAGCACAGCATCTTGACTATGAAAAATCAATCTTTTACAAACAACAAACTGCCAGTACTGTAAGTGCTGTACTATACAATACCATTTAAATACACAAGTGTTTGGATGAGAAACAAAATGAGAGCTCAGATGGATCTGTAGGGATACTTGATATTAAGTTATCATAAAATACAAAGTACATACTATAACTTTTTAGTAATAGTTACCTCGACAGCTACTCTGGTGGAATTAGATAATTTTTTTATGCTTTTAAATATACACAACCTATTTACATCAAGGGACTGCCAATCATTTCTTGTGTGAAATGCTTTGGAAGATAAGGAAATGATGCATGAATAATCAGACAGTGGTATTTTCAGGTTAAGTTACTTAACGTAACCATATGTAATGCAACCTAACTTGACCTAATCTAATGGATTTAAATCCTTTAGAGAAATTGCCAAAATGGCATAGATTAAGTCATAAAAGGTCACTTTTATGACTTGACATACACTATTATATGGATAATGACTATATGCAGTTTGTAATCATTCATGTTGAAATGTTTTTATACATTGTAATTGTGTACCTCTAAACTATTATATTAAAATATGTGTACCAAATCTTTATGGGTCACACTGATCACTACTATACAACTTGCCTATATAAAGAAATGAACAGACAAGGAAAAAAAAAAGTAAGACATTTCTATTGTGGTCCTTAATTATTGTCCAAATTCTTAAAGATTTTTATTAGGAATGATTATTAGGTATATGGTTTTCTTTTTGTAGAATTACTTTTCGCTCAGAGTAGCTGGGATCAAAGTCTTCAGCACTGCAAATGTTAGTATTCAATGGGGAGCGGTAAACCCGTAAAGGCCATTATAACACCTGAGGAAAGGAAGGTTATCAAGTATGATCCGAAGAGGGTAACAAATTCCTTGGATCAAGAGCCCTTCGCCAGCATCAAGGTACTTCTCTGGAAGACCCACGTCTGCTTCTCAGTAGGTTGTCAAGGTGGGCTTTTCTTAGTTCTCTTAAACTAAACATTCAACTAACCTCTGTATACAACCATTAAAACAAATTAGGAGGTTACAATTACCAAAGAATTATCTATTACTGTGGGGAAGCGCTTAACCCGTAGGGGTCATACGGCGCCTGGGGAATGGGAGATAGTTTGATGCCAGGAAAGGGGGAGGGGAAGGATAGAACAGGTCCAATTTCTTGGATCAAGAGCCTCATCACCATCGTGTCAACATTGAATGTCTAATATTTTACTTACACTTGCTCAGCCATGGTTTGAAGGCGTTGGCAGGATATGATGGTTCTTCCAGCGGCTACAGTGACTAACACAAAGGCACTAGAACAATAATTATTACAGGAGGAAAGATGTGATGCGGTGGGGAATTACTGACAGAAGTGTCTAGTCTGAGGAAACCTGCCAGAGGGAGATAACCCGACTCTGTTGATATTTACTCAATTATTCAATTTTTTATCCAGCTGAAAACTATAGCCGATAGCAAATCCAGAACCTGTCGCTCGTATGAGATGTATATAGACGAACGTAATAAGAGATGTAACAAAATTTAACAAATTGGTATGTTAAAAAAATAGTTCAAGTTATTCAACTGAATATTCTGCCACTATATAAGAAAGGTGGCGTCATGTTCACACACTGGATTCCCCGGAGTGGCAAGATTAAAGATTTTTTTTTGTCAAAATTTATCCCTGGTTGGCAAGGGAGTTTCTTACAACACTGATTATGTAGTAGTAAAAAACAACAGACATTTGTTTGTTAGTCGATTGCTGTGGATCGTATCTACAGAATAGGAAAAAAAAAAAGGACCATAATGGAAGTACATGACTTGAGTTAAACTAGGTAATCTACACATACTGCTATGTATGATAATTTATTTAACTGTATTTATGTGTACCTGTACCTGCTGGAAGTTATCCTGGGTAAAATGACAATATCTAAGAGAAAAATGACAAACCTATTAAGGTACCGAAGGCCAGGCTGAAAATATCCAAATTGCGGTGTCGCTAATGCTTTAATTAAACAGTGATGGTACAAATTAGCCAATTTTACAACAATTAAAAAGTGAAAATAGTTTTCCATGCAACAACTGGATAACCCTTCCGAGCGGCTTCAAATTTTCAGTATTATTATAATCATAACTAAACGCTAAACCCAAAAGGGTCAGAGCTTCGTCAGCATTCTTATATTTTTGTTAAAAAAAAGAATAGTGTTATTAGTCCGTATTAGTTCCATTTTGCCAATTTTATTAAACTAGGATATTTGTTTGATAATTTGCCAATATAGTACTGTTTTTTAAATAGACTTCAAACTGGTTTTGGAGTGTACTGGATAGTAATTTGCTAAATTTACACAAATTGTGATAATGGTTTTCAGAGTATGGGTATCAAGGTCATAATACAAGGGGAAACAAGCTCCCATAAAAAAAGGGCACTATCCCGCATTCTAAATAAAATACTTCATTCATTATATATTTATTTTGCATTTTAAACCAAATAAAGTTTAACCCCAAAAACCCGTAGTTAGGAAAACCTAGACGTGTCTATGCAAGGACGATTTTCAAATCGCCCTTGCGTAGACGTAGAGATTATTAATAAGGCTCATTAACAACAACTATCTTCAGCTCTATGTTGGCTTACCCGTTTGCTAGAACAAATGACCGAGGAGCTAAAAGGAATACGCGAGTGACCAACAGATTATTATATGGCAGACAGGACCAAAATGATGCCTGCATTGTGATACCTGCCTGGCCCTAGCCTAATACACTGCCAGACACTGAAGACTATGTAACACTACTTGGAGGGGTCAGCATTGAGACTCCAATTTGGCCGCCATCCCCTCCATCCCCACAGTTCCAAAGGTCCAGTTTTAAGCAAGTTTACGGGTCACTGTAAACACACAAGGGCAGTACTCAGTTGCTCAATACTGCCATAAACTAATCTTACCACCTGTATGTAAAAGAGCTACCAATTTTAGTTAACCATGTTATAAATGGGTGGATGCCACAGTGTACTGTTCAACTCGCCTCGCTTATGTCAGACTGTCAAAGTACAATGGAAGTTACTTTGCGTATTGAAGTAAAAAACCAAATGTAGAACGTGAAAGTTCGTGCGACCTTGTGTGTGCTTCAAGGGGGGGGATAGCTTCTGATCAAAGGAACTGGAGCTGTTAATCCTTTCTTAGAAGACGACAGATCTGAACTGTACTAATTTATTAGTGAATTACATAATATAGAATACAATGTTCTCAGAGAACAGTTCTTGAATCTGAATCAACCCACAACAGATTACATTAATAAATTTTGTTAAGTCCAAATCATTACGTGTTATGGATAACTAAGTTCCGATATACAACAATTCTGCAGCAAAATTTATCTAACTGCAAAAATTCAGGTAATATACAATTGCTAAAGTTGTCTATCCTAGGAACTAAAAAATTTAGCTTTCTTATGGGGAGGGGCAGGGCGAGGAAAAGAATGTAAAGTGAACCTACTTTTTTTTCTAACAATTCTAGCCCAAAATCAAAATTAAAACAAGGTGTGGAGTCCAAGTAATGTCTTGCATACCTAATTAAGTGAAGATAGCGGATACAATTGTTTAGAATATATAAGGTAATGAAAGCTCACACAGATCAAAAGCAGTGATCACAAAACAATTGAACCATGCTCATGCCAAAATGGTTTAACTGGCCCTATGGAGAGCCAACAAAATAAATTTCTCATACCTGTTATCTACCCTTTTCTCTAAGAGCAGAAAAAGATTTAATCTCGTTTGTATAAAGCAATGGAAGAACTACTGGGAAGGAATATGTAAACTAAAGTAGAATGACTGGATGCACAAAAATATCAATAAGAATATAAATAATAAACTTATTAACTACAGCCTAAAGAACAATACTTCACATAACCCAATTATAAGACCCCAGTAAAAAGGTTGGACAAACTGTTCAGACATTTTAAAAATGAGAACAGTAGTGTTGGTAGGTTCAAGTTACTATCAATACAATATTAAACCAAGCTTGCAACCTGAGGAGTGACTCAGCCCATCCATACGAGAAAATCTAATTTAGGCAAATACTTAGAGGTTAGGTAAATTAAGCATTATATTACGTGAATTTTACTTAGGTCTTTGAGCAATACTTTAAACATGCACAACTAGTTAAATGGGTTTCGTATGATGTGGCCAAGCTAATGGATGTACTCTAAATTTGTTCAGAGATACGATGACATGCAGCTCGACAGGTTTCATTCCTCTAGTTCACAATCAAAGATGCACTTTCTGTTTGCAGGTGAAGACTATCACTGCAACATGAACCAATTTTAAATCAAACAGATTGGCAATGATAAATTGCATTTAAGAACTTTTCATAAAATTACACAAAGAAAAAACACACCTTTATGCCTGCAAACCAAAGGTGGATTTTAATCTGCACCTCACCCCTTCCGCCTTTCATAAAAAAAGTCCTATGGTAGTTCTCAAGTTTACCATTGTAGAACCCATTAAGGAAGGGGGAGGGTACCTTCATGTGGTAAAGGGCTCGTGATTCAAGGAACTGAAGCTGCCCTCTCCTTCCTTGGATCGTATCCGATTACCTTTTCCCCAGGCGCTGTCTGACCCATACAGATTTAGCGCTTCCATTATAATAATCTAATAGCATAAACATGTGTACGAGGAAGAGCTAAACCCATAGGGATCAAACAGCACACTGGCAATTGGAGAATTGGTTTGATCGAAAGGGAGGAGCAGCTCCAGCTATCTTGCAGGTTATAAAAGTAGCCTCTTTGTTCTTCTTACCTGCTGTAAGCACAATCCCAAGCAGCAGAAGCAGCAAAACAGATACCAGATAGATTCGTTTATTTGACATTTCACCGCCAACGATCTGGGTCAGGTTACCGGGATTGAGGTCATTCATGTAACCCGTGTGACCTCGCTGCAAGGTCATCCACTCGCCTCTCCTGTAATCCAAAATAATTTATTTGGAGAGCGCTAAACCAGATAGGGCATACATAGCCTAGGAATGGAAGGAATTATCAAATTATGCGCTAAACCTGACTGCTTATACAGCGCTGGAAAGCAATCAGACTATATCCAATGAAAGGGAGGGAAAGCTCTAATTTTTTGCATACAGAGCTCATCACCAGCTTCAAGGAATTTCCCTGCATACTCAAGTTGTTTAAAATTAAGAAATATAATAAAATTAAGTGCTAAATCTGACAATGGTTCAGAAATAATGAAGTTATTTTATGCCCAAGACAACGCGCTAAAAGTATACAAAAAGAAAAAAACTATATTCATGGGAAGCGCTAGACCTGTAGGAATTTAGTGCTCGGGAAATGGGAAGCAATTAGGTTTGATCCAAGGAAGAGTAGATCCAATGTCTGGGATCAAATGGTCTTCAAATACTGCAGTACTAGACCTCTTCAAGGGGGGCTCCTTGTTGTGGTGAAGAGGCTCTTGGTCTGAGGAATCAGACCTGTCAGTCTCCTTCCTCAGACCGAACATAATTACCCCCGATCATCATCATCCCATCATCATCATCACTCATCATCATCAACATCATCATCATCATCTCATCATCATCATTCATGCATCATATCCTCATCACATCACCTCATCATCATCATCCTCATCCTCATTCTCATCCTCTTCTACCTCATTCCTGATGACCTCACCTGTCCCATCCTCCCTTCCTCAATCACATCATCATCATCACCATCCCATCATCATCATCATCATCATCATCCTCCTCCTCTCTCCTCCTCCTCCCTCCTCATCTCCTCCTCCTCTCCTCCTCTCTCCTCTCCTCATCCTCCTCCTCCTCCTCCTCCTCTCTCATCCTCCTCCTCCTCCTCCTCCTCCTCCCCTCCTCCTCCTCCTCCTCTCCTCCTCCTCACATCCTCCTTCCTCCTTCATCCTCTCCCTCCTCATCCTCCTCCTCATCCTCTCCATCCTCCTCATCCTCCATCCTCCTCATCTCTCTCCTTCCTCCTCTCCTCCTCCTCTCCTCCTCATCCTCCTCCTCCTCCTCCCCTCCTCCTCCTCCTCCTCCTCCTCCTCCTCCTCCTCCTCCTCCTCCTCCTCCTCCTCCTCCTCCTCCTCCTTCCTCCTCCTCCTCCTCCTCCTCCTCCTCCCACAGGCTCACTAGTTCCTAGGTAGGGGAAAGGATACTGGGGTCCATCCCATTCCGTTGAGGTTCTTGGCGGTGGCGTAGTTTGCCGTGGAATCTGGATCGCCTGGGGATGTCCCGATCCCTCTCCGGTATCCCGGAGTAGCTTTGGGTGTCTTTCGGGCGACGGGTGTATCTCTGGAAGCCACCTTTCGGATTCCGGGGGTGGTGGCCGAAGGAGGTATGCTTTGTGGCGGATATCCGACCGCCCTCTCTTTTGTCCACCAAGGTAGCTCGGCAGATGCGAGGTTGCTATCCCGGATTGCTGGTTTACTGGCATGAAGGGTAGGGTATGGCACGGGTTCCATGCTGCATCTGCACTACTAGCAGTGCCGAGGTCCTCTTGGGCACAGAGGGATTATTATTATTATTACAATCAATGGGGGAAGCGCTAAACCCGAGGATTATACAGCGCCTGGGGGGATGTGGAAGGCATTCAGGCTTAATTCGGGGAACTGGAGCACAGATCCAATTCCCTAAATCAAGAGCCCCTCACCAACATCAAGGAACCTTCCTTGAGGGAGGGGGCGTGGAGGGAGATTTCCGGCCCTTTTATTCCACCTGGGAACTATTCCTCCCCGCTCCCCCCTTTTTATTCTTTTTTTTTATTTTATTTTTTCTTTTTTTTTCTTAACAAAAAGCAAAGGAGTAACCTAACCATGGAGAACCCAATCCATAAACCCACTACCCCCATGCCCCTTCTTGATACCACACCCCATTCTGACCCTGCCTTGTTTTTAGACCACTCATCAGACACTTCCGATGCCCCTGTACCTCTTGCTGGTGCTGTTTCCTCACCCGCTTCAGGTACCGGGGCTTTGACCGACTCCTTCGATTTGTCTGACCTCCGCTCTCCTTTGACTATGCTTCCGGCCTCTCCCTCTACGGTACGGCAATTTTTGAATCGCCAGCCCATTTCACGCCGGACCAACTCCGGTCCTACTCCTAAACGCCAACGTCAATCTCCTGATGATGCTCCTTCATTACCTTCCCATTCTACTCGGAAAAGACAGACACGTCATGCACTCCCTCTCCACGCTCAGTTTCGGACCACACAATGGACTAAATTCTTTACTTTAAGACAGACTTCTTCTTCTGCCTATCTTTCTAACCATAGTATTGGCAAAGTGCTCCTGTGTCATGTTGGTAGAGAGATTTCATTTCATGCTCTCAAGAGCGGTACGCGCATAGTCACTGTCCAGAATGCTACCCAAGCTCATGATCTTTCTCTCCTTTCGAATATCGATACTACTCCTATCACTATTGAAAAACATCTCTCTCTCAATTCTTGTAGTGGTACTGTCATTCTGCCCCATACCATAGTCCAACAGAATTTCCAGTCATGTGGCAATGACATTTTTGAACAGCTGGAACTCCAGGATCTCCCAATCCTCAAAGTAGACACTTATGTCCTTCCTGCCCGTGGGTGGAGAAGTTACCTTTGCAATGTGGCTCGTTTAACTTTTGACAGCCGAGAACTTCTGTATATGTCGTGGGACATCAGTTACAAGTTTGAAAGGTGATACCTACACCGCAACAGTGTAGAAATTGCTGGCGTTTTGGTCACCCAGCGAAATATTGCAGAGCTATAGCCAAATGCCCAGTCTGTGGTGCCGACGACCATTCTAATACATCTTGCAATCAACCTCCATCTTGCCTTAATTTTAATGAAGCTCACCCTTCGTACTTCCGCCGTTGCCAAGTCTACTTAAATGAACGTGAAATCCATTGCCTCAGAGGCAGAAGGTCTCCCTTATGCTATGGCAGTTACTCATCTCTGCCTCCAAGGGAGACTACCCAGTGTTCCTTATTCTCGTGTTTCAAAACATCCCCCCCCCCCACTTCTGGGGTCCCATCTTCTGCAGCCTCCTCTGTTGTTACCCCTCCCATGGCCACTCTGGCATCTAATCCTTTTGCTGTCCTTGGCTCTGACATCCCGACTACAACTCAGTCTGTTCTCACATCTTCGCGTCCTTCCTCACAAGCCCCAGTATCGACAAGACCTCGTACGACACCTAATACCAATCGCCCCTCTATTTGAGAAGTCCAAGAAATCCACATTGCTCAAATCTTCTTTGCCCCTTCCTTCCCTTCTTCCACCTCCACACTTTACCTTTCCAGTCTCTATGCCTAGTTCTTCCCCTCTCTCTGGCTCTATTACAAGTGTGGAGATTCACCCTCCTCCTCGTACTATGCCTTCCACCCCCGTCCCCTCCCAAGTTTCTCCCTCTTCTGCCACCTCCCTGGTTTCTGCCTCTTCTGTCCCCCCCCCACACTTCATCTCCAGTCCCTTACACTCTTTCGTCCCCCTCTACTTTGGTACAGTCCATTACTGTCCCAATCTTTACTCACCCTCCCCCTTCTATCTCCAATATGGTCTCCCATACATCTTTGAATTCAGAAGCACTTGAAGCCATTTCCGAATATATTGCAGAGACTAAACCTTCAATGGACACTGATTCACTTCCTTCTCTTCCCTCTCCATCTTCACAACCCCATTCTTCACAACGCTCAGTTCCTTCGCTGCTTGAACGTCTTTCAATGCCACCACACGTTGACTTTCCTAACCCCTCTAGTCCATAGGTGCCTTTCCCTACGGATTCCTGGCATTTTCTTCATCGCCAATCATGGCCTATTTACAGTGGAATATCCGCGGCCTCAGGGGCAATCGGGGTGAGCTTTAGGTGTTGCTTTCCAGGTTTTCCCCTGTTGGTGCTTGCTTACAAGAACCAAAATTACACTCAGCTGTTTTCCAACTTATCTCAGGCTATAATTTATTGTATTCTTCGGATCCTTTCTCAGATGGGACCTTTAATGAAAGTGCCCTTCTATGCAATGATATTCCGTACTGTCAACTATTTGTCCATACCTCGCTGCATTACACTGCAGCCCATATCCATATTGTAAACCACTTATTCAAGTGTACTTTATATCTCTCTCCTTCTCGAGCATTTTCTATCCCAGCCTTTGCCTTTCTTGTTTCATCCTTACCACCACCACTTCTGTTACTTGGTGATTTTAACGCCCACCATTTCCTCGGGGGGGGGTCTCATTGTGACTCACGTGGCATCCAGTTGGAGGCTTTTCTCACCTCTCACCCCCTCCATGTTTTAAATACGGGTACTCCCACCCATTTTGATCCTCGTACTCATACTCTTGCATCGATCTATCAGTCTGCTCTTCCTCCACTGCACTAGACTTCACCTGGTCTGTTCTACCGGACTTATATGACAGCGATCATTTTCCAATCATTCTTACTTCTTCATATTCACCACCTTTCCGTAGCCCTCGCTGGCAATTTGATCGGGCAAATTGGGACCTTTACTCGCAGCTCACTGCTTTTAGCGAGGTTCCTTCATCCTCCATTGATGAGCTCCTACACCTCTTCTCGACGTCAGTTTATACCGCAGCTTCTCATTCTATACCCCAAACCTCAGGCAAGCATTCTCAGAAGTGCGTGCCTTGGTGGTCTCCTGCTTGTGCTCATGCAGTACGTTTGAAACGCACTGCATGGGGCAGGTACCGATGCAATAGAACCAATGAGAGACTTCTTGATTTTAAGCAGAAGCGTGCGATCGCTCACCATGTCATCAGTGATGATATACGCACTTGCTGCTTCCTCTGAGTGCAGTCTGGAAAAAAGTGAGAAAATTGAGTGGTAAATACTTTCCTGACCCGGCTCCTGTTCTACAGGTTGCCGGTATTGATGTAGCAAACCCTCTTGGCATTGCCAGTGAAATTGGCACTCATCTGGTCCGTATTTCCCGGGGGCCCCATCTATGCCCCTCGTTTCTTTCAGTCTGCCAGAGTTTTAGTACCCTTGTACTTTTCTTCTCTCAGAGAAGAACAATATAATGTGCCTTTTACACTTCAGGAACTGGAGGTAACACTCTCAGCTTGCCGATCATCGGCAGCTGGACCTGATGACATTCATATTCGTATGTTACAACATTTACATTAGTCAGCCCTTTTAGTCCTCTTACACCTCTTCAATCTTATTTGGGCACAAGTAGTTCTTCCCCAGCTGTGGAAATCTGCCATTGTTCTCCCTTTCTGCAAGCCGGTACTACAGGACATGATGCCTCCCACTACAGTCACATTGCTCTTACTAGTGCAGTTTGCAAAGTGATGGAACGTCTCGTAAATCGCCGTTTAATGTGGTATTTAGAGACAACAGTCTCTCTGCTAGTCAACATGGCTTTCGTAAGGGCTGTTCTACCATAGACCCCTTACTACACTTGGATATGTATGCTCGTAATGCCTTTGCAAATAATCACTCGGTTATTGCCATATTTTTTGACCTTGAGAAGGCATATGACAACTTGGAGGTATAATATTTTGGCCCAAGCCCACTCCTTAGGTCTCCGAGGCAATCTATACCATCCTTCCTTAAGAACTTTTTAACTGACAGACACTTCCGTGTTCGAGTCAATAATGTGCTTTCCCCGGACTTTGTCCAAGCTGAAGGTGTCCCTCAGGGATGTGTTCTGAGCACAACACTTTTTCTCCTTGCTATAAACGATTTGGCCTCTGTTCTTCCACCCAATATTTGGTCATCACTATGTTGATGACTTCACTATTGCTTGTGCAGGCACTGACTCATCTCATTGCAGTTTCTCTCCAGCATGCGGTCGGCCGTGTTTCCACTTGGGCCACCACGCATGGGTTTAAATTTTCCAGTACCAAAACTCACCAAATTACTTTCACTAGACGCTCTGTCATCTCCGATCATCTTTTGTATCTCTATGGCTCTCGTATCCCCAAACGTGATACAGTCAGGTTTCTAGGCCTTTCTCTTTGACCGTAGGTTATCCTGGAAACCTCACATTACCTCTGAAGGCGACTTGTCACAGCTGGCTAAACCTTCTTAAAACCCTTGCTCATCTTTCCTGGGGAGCTGATCGTCGAACTCTGCTTCGCCTACATTCAGCCCTCGTTTTATCGAAACGAGATTATGGTGACCAGATTTATTCAGCGGCCTCTCCTGCTACTCTCTCTAGCCTTAACTCCATCCATCACCAAGGATTACATTTATGCCTTGGTGCTTTTCGCTCTTCCCCTGTTGAGAGCCTCTATGCAGAAGCGAAGTTCCATCCTCGTCTGATCGCCGTGATGCCCATTGCCTTCGCTACTATGTACGCTCTCACGATCTCCACAATCCTTCCATTTATAGAATGGTCACCGATATTAGTAGACATTATTTGTTCGCCGCCCCTGTTTGCTCCGTCCCTTTTCTCTTCGTCTACATTTGCTCTTTTCTTCCCTTCAGTTACCACCTTTATATGTTCATGTAGCATCTCACTTTTCTCTACCCCCCTGGGAAGTTCCAGCTGTTCGGGTCTGTTCTTTCTCACTCCCTTGCTCGAAAGCCCAACTGCCTATGGTGGCATCCCGCTCTCTTTTTCTTGATCACTTCCACTCTCATTCCCATGCCATCGCTGTGTACACAGATGGCTCTAAGTCTTCAGACGGCGTCGGATTCGCAGCAGTGTTTCCAGACAGTGTCGTGCAAGGGCGTTTACTATCTTCGGCTAGCATTTTTACTGCTGAATTGTATGCCATTCTTGCAGCACTTATTCGTATCGCACTGATGCCTGTGTCATCATTTGTGGTAGTCTCAGACTCCCTTAGTGCTCTACAGGCTGTACGAAAATTTGATACATCTCACCCCCTAGTTCCCTGGTCCCTGGTCATGTCAACGTACAGGGCAATGAACAGGCAGACACTGCTGTGCAGTCAGCAGTACATGACCTACCAATTTCCTATAGAGGTGTTCCATTTCTGGACTATTCTGCTGCAATAGCTACCCACCTTCACACCCATTGGCAACAACGTTGGTCAACTCCGCTCGGTAACAAACTTCATTCTATTAAACCAAGCATAGGTTACTGGCCGTCTTCTTGTCATCAGTGCAGAGGTTGGGAGACCACTCTCTCCCGCCTTCGCATTGGCCACACTCGTCTTACTCATGGGTATCTCATGGAGAGGCACCCTGTTCCTCTCTGTGAGCAGTCAAGTTCCAGTATCTATTAGCCACATTCTGTTAGACTGCCCTCTCTATCAACGAGCACGCAGAATTTACCTCCAATGTCGTCTTCGTTCTACTACTCTCTCTCTTTACCTTCCCTTCTTGCTGATGGACCCTCCTTTAATCCTGACACTCTCATCGACTTCTTGACAACGACTGATTTACTCCACAAACTCGGATGATACCTTTCGCACTCCTCTCAGCCCTTTCTAGTTCAGTCTCTTGCTGCCCTTGACCCCTTCACCATCCACTGCCCCACTGTTATCCGTAACCTATTACTCATCAATCTCCCTTTTGCCACCTGATGCCCTCGCTTCCTTCCTGCCCTGCAGTGCTGTATAGCCCTTGTGGCTTAGCGCTTCTTTTTGATTATAATAATAATGCGGTACTAGACCAACTCTCACTCAACCATGAACTACTATTCAACTTTTTCACTAGTCTACAACTCCTCCATACCATATTTCAATTCATGCATATTATTCTTATAAAGATTATCACGAAGTTAAAATAACTAAATCATTAAAATAGTTAACATTCAATCGGAAGAGCTTAATTAAAACTAGGGGGACTGCAAGCAATCAGGAATCGTGGGAAGGTGAGGTAGCACCAATTCCTTGGATCAGATCCCTTCACCAGCATCAACGCTCCTTCCTTTTAAAAGTGGTTAAACAAATATAATTTCCCATGCAATTTAAATAAAAAGCTATTTACCTAGCCATTATTGACGAGTGAAATGAAGGCAGGTTGAGGGCAGCAGAACCATGGAGAACCTCTGTTTTATCCCTGGAAGTGGTTCTCTCTGTCTGTCTGCTGCAGGCCATTTTGTTCAGGTGTGCCTGAGCAGCCTTCTGGTTCTTTGGAGTAGAAGAACTACTAGACCTTAGACGAATATTGTGCAGCAGTCTGTCCTCATATAGAGCATAAGTTACACAATTATCAACTGAAGTAACACCATCCCTTACCGAGTTATAAGGCTCATACAAACTTTGAGAACCTTTTGAGGAGTGTGCAGTTGAACTACTTAATCCATTTCTTTGTTTTTCAGGCGTGATTTCCTGCTCGTAAAAGAGGATATCCTGTTTGGAATCTGGATCAGTAGTACTCTGAGAGCCTTGTGCTGAGGAAGACTGAGAAGCACAGGAGGCCATCTGCAGTGACATACGATGTGAACCCATAGCAGCAGAATGCTCTAATCTGCAACAAAGCACTAGTTTAGGAGTTTACCAAAACTAAATGTAGTAGCATAGCTTCTGAATAATAATTACAGTTAACACCCTAAAATCACTTAAGGGGAACCTAAAGGATGATTTTTTTTTTTGGGGGGGGGAAGGGGGCTATTTAGTTTTTACTCCACAGCATCTGAGCAAAAAAATACAATTACAAAATTTAATATAAAACTAGGATCCCAAAGAGCTACTTTCTACAAGACAACTCTATAAAATCATTCTAGCTGTCATTCTCGTGGCCGTCAATATAATGTACCAACTAATGCGTTCCCTCTTCTTCCAAGAATAGGTAAAAATAGTCACCAAAATAGTCTTCATACGAATAAAAAACTCAATGCTAATACGAAAAAATTTAAATTTACCACAGGGGGGTTATATAAAATGGTAGACGAACACATTAAATTAGAAGATTAAAGTGAATGCGAGGGGGAAGGATAAAGAACAATTGAGCATATAATACCTGAAGAAATCTGTATGATAGAGCGGAGGAACCCAGTAGATGAAGTCAGGATCCTGGGTGAAGGTCGCTTCCAGCGGGCGCCATACCATGGACAGTCCATCCTTCAACTCCTGCCAATCGAGAAAAAGTATTTAGTTTATTTTTACGAAACAGTTCAAAACGCCCAAACATATATCAGTTTAAAAAAAAAGTCCCCTAAAACAAATCACTAAACTATATGCAGCTAAATGCTGGATAACCACAGTAAAAAAAAGTCAAAATAATTTCACCGTGCTCGTCTACCTGGAGGGTGTTCCCGGGGGTCAAAGCCCCCACGGTCCGGTCCATGACCAGGTCTTCCGGCGGGTCAGGGTCTGATTAACCAAGCTGTTACAGTTGGCCGCACGCATTCCAACGTATAAACTACAGTCGCGGCTGGTCGGTCACTGATTTAAGGCCTTCATCAAGCTCTTTTGAAGACAGCCAGGGGTCTACTGATACTGATACCCTCTATACATGATGGGAGGTTGCCGAATAATCTTGTGCCTCAAGAGACTTACCGAGTTTTCTGTCAGTGCACTCACGGTACCCTTACTTTTCACTGGGGGTATGTTGCACAGTCTGCCGAGTGATTTGTGTGTGCAGGTTTGGGACCCGTACCTGTATACAGGATTTTTCAGGTGTAAACTATCATGCTTCTTTTTCGCCTGCGTTCCAAGGAGTACAGGTCAAGGCACTTCAGACGTTTCCAGTAATTACGGTGCTTGACTGCAGTGAAGGTTCTCATGTCACCAGCTTCTGTAATCATCTTGCATGCAACTTCCATATTAATTTACAGAAAAGGCAAGCTGAGTATTGGTAAGGAAGTTTAAAAAGAATTACCACAGGTTTAAAACACAGTATTGACATGAATCACTTGCCGTGCAAAGCGAAAAATAATTCCTTTTTCAGAGGAAAAAAAAAAAAAGGTTCACACAAATTAATATTAACTTAAACACAATGACTACAAATAGCCTGTAAGTTTTGAAAAAAAAAATATTAAAAAGTAAACTAACACTTTTTTCCTCTATAGGTAAATGGTAATTATACATTATTATTATTATTATTATAATCAAGGGGGAAGCGCTAAACCCGTAGGATTATACAGCGCCCAGGGGAGGGGGGGATGTGGAAGGCATTCAGGCTTAATTCGGGGTTACTGGAGCACAGATCCAATTCCCTAAATCAAGAGCCCCTCACCAACATCAAGGAACCTTCCATGAGGGGTGGTAATTATACAAAAAGGTATAAAATGAAAAATAGTTGATAGTTAAATGTGCCACAGTCAGCCTATTTTCGCTCCATGATGTAGCGTTGTATGACCCCATATGGGTTTAGCGTTTAGTTATGATTATAAACTAGCTCCACGAGAAATACACTTTATTGAGATGTATCGCAGGCTATATACCTAGAGGTGCATCTGCATATAGACTTATTCATAGGTGAGGGGGGGGGACACTAACCCTGTAACATCAAAGAACCTTCCTTGTAGGAAGTGTAGGTACACAGCTCACTTTAATACCTATTTTAGGGATTAATGTATAATCTTAACTGGTAGCAACAGGTTACAAGCAACCTTAATGGCACTTCTGTAATCCATAGGCTTTAAACCATAATTAATCTACCAAGCAGCTGTTGTTGCTGGTCCCATCTGGTCGTGTTGGGAGAGAGAGAGAGAGAAAAAAAAAAAAAAAAAGAGCGGCTGCTCTGGATATTTTTAGTCTTAAATTAAAACCTATCAATCACACGAGGCCGCAAATCGCATAATACGAAAAAATTATTTTACTATAAAAAACTGCGATTAACGTGAATCTGGGGTATATACTCCTCCATGGCTACTCTATATACCGGTTGGCTGGTTAGTCTGTTACGTTTAAAAAAACTTATTGACTGCACGAGGGTCATAAGCCGTATTTCACTGTTGCCGTTATGCAAGAATAATCCCAAAGTTACTAAAGTAAACTGTGCACATACACACACCACACTAGTGTACTTACCTAATTTGTCCGAAATGTTCTACATAACAAGCGGCTTTCTATATAGTAGTATGTCATTGATATCAACTAGGACTGTATACCTTGTACATGTACTTGTAGAAATAAAGATATTATTATACTCGTGTGTATTACGTTTTGACGTAATAAAAGAAAACTTGTCAAGAATAAAGAGTTCTAGCCAGCAAGCAAAAAATACATACCTCTTCCAATACGTTACATGACTTGTTGTCCATTGTAAACGGTCTTCTGCAAAAATATAAACAAAAACAATGATGGCTCTCTGGTGGTGTGCATGTTCCTCACCTCGCTGCTGCTGCTGCTGCTGCTGCTGCCTGTGTGAGGAAGTCAACCATGAGGTTTGAGCAAGACGAACCCTAACAGCCTCGTCAAACTTGGTACTATGCTGTGGAGTGGTTGGTTAATTGGGTTTAAAGCCTATGTATACTACTAGTTGCCTGCAACTAGTTCTCCACCAGTCAAGAATACTTTAACCTCTAAAATATGGATTAAACTCTCAGCGTATGTACACAGAGATATCAGCTTCCCAGTGTATATATCCACTGTGGGTTGGTTCATTTGTTAAATTTCAGCCTATCGTTTCATGTGGGTTAATGAGGCTGCAGTTCACCTGATACTAATATAATACAAAAACATTTAATCACCAAAAAACGAAGTTTTAGCAGTTAAATACACACCTTTCAGTGTATACATATTTATTGTTTAAGCTTATTGAACTAGGTATAGTTTAAAATAATGATAATAATGACCAGAGGTGTAAAATCCCATGTTTCACAAGGTTATATACACATAGGGTTGTTTACCTTTCAAATATAATATATAATATATATATATATATATATATTATATATATATATATATATATATATAATATATATATATATATATATATATATATATATATATATATATGTCGTGCCGAATAGGCAGAACTTGCGATCTTGGCTTAAATAGCAACGCTCATCTTGCCATATAGGACAAGTGAAAATTTGTGTATGCAATAATTTCGCCAAAATCATTCTGAACCTTACGAGAAAAATATATTTGATTGTGTTTGTTTAGTACTAAATTATTGTAAACGTATTTAAAATATATTTAGTTGGGTTAGGATAAAATAAATTGCTCTTGTTATAACAAGGTTAGGTAAGTTTTCTAAGATTCTTTTGGTGCAAAATTAAAAATTTTTACATTAACATTAATGAAAAAAATATATCTCTAAATGTATAAGAGAAAATATCAGAAAGGACTTAATTTTAAATGAGTTCTTGCTAATTGACCAGTTTTACATATTCGGCACGACATATATATATATATATATATATGTCGTGCCGAATAGGCAGAACTTGCGATCTTGGCTTAAATAGCAACGCTCATCTTGCCATATAGGACAAGTGAAAGTTTGTGTATGCAATAATTTCTCCAAAATCATTCTGAACCTAACGAAAAAAATATATTTGATTGTGTTTCTTTAGTACTAAATTATTGTAAACGTATTTAAAATATATTTTGTTGGGTTAGGGTAAAATAAATTGTTCTTGTTATAATAAGGTTAGGTAAGTTTTCTAAGTTCCTTTTGGTGCAAAATTATAAATTTTACATCAAATTAATGAAAAAAACTATATCTTTAAACGTATAAGAGAAATTTTAGAAAGGTCTTAATTTTAAATGAGTTCTTGCTAATTGACAGTTTTACATATTCGGCACGACATATATATATATATATATATATATATATATATATTTCACTTAAGATATAAAAATGTTTCTTCTGCCTCTGTTTCCTATTCTTTTGCAGATCTGTGTGTGTATGTGTACGTGTACTCACCTAATTGTGGTTGCAGGGGTCGATTCATAGCTCCTGGCCCCGAGTGTGTGATCACACGGCAGCGCTCAGGTTTTCCAGTTTATTTTTTCACTGTCGTATTATTGCAATTTCTTCCGTAATGAACAACGAACATTTTTTCCATATGTTCTTTTCACAATTTCCCTATCTTGTCTGTTTTGTTACCAATTATATATGGCCAATTTCAGATTAAACTTTGATATCACCCCATTTAGTAATATGTACGTCTCTTGCCTCGCCTTCCTATTCCTCTGAAGATGTGTGGAAACACATCAGTGCATAAATACACATCGTTCTCATGTCAATCCATGGCTCTGAGGGATATGATAATACATGCGATATGAAAGCTTTTTGGGCTGTGGAAGGGACATGAGAGTTGTTGACCGTTGACGCAGATGTCACAAGTGTACATTAATGCCTTCATTGCATACGTACTAAGATATACACCCCTCCAGCCCTCCAAAAGTATATACACTACTTTTCTTGGTGCACACACACCAAGACTCGTATACATATAGAAATACATGCGTTATATTGTTACAAAATTTTTTTTTTAATTTATTATTCCTTATTTTAAACCCTGATGTTATGTTTATGGTTAGTATTATTAAAAAAAAGAAAGTGTTCATATATATTGTCTGAAAAAACCTACCGTTGTAGTATACTCGTATATTTAAAAAAAAAAATATAAGCCAGCAGTGCTTGGTGAACGGCAGCCATTATTGGCGGGACGTTATCATGGCGGGAATGGCGCTGCTCGTGGCTCGATGTTACCAAATTTTCGCCATTATTGTGGTAACCTTGCTCATATTTAAGCTTTGTGTTTGTGAGAAGGATGGTAGAGAACGTGAGGATGCAGCCGGACGCAAGATTTGTTCTTGGATATGCCAGGACTTGAAGAATAACGTGAGTAGCACTTAACATGGGTCCTATTAGGTTGCACTGCCCTCAAGGGTCAGCGTTGTATAGCCCTTGTGGGTTAGCGCTTCTTTTTGATTATAATAATAATGCCCTCAAGGGCTGTACAATCCTTGTAGGTTAGGTACTCAGTTCTGATTGTAGTAATAATCTGGTGAAGAGTTCTTGGTCTTTTAATAATCACAAACTTAATAGGAAATTTGCCACAAAGTGAATGTTTTAAATAACTATTGGTGGTCATGCTCTAATGTCATGTAGTGATTATTTTTTTAGAACTTTGTGGTATGCTACATATTTTCAAAAATAGGTCTCCAAAGAATGCCGTAGTTTAGATTTGTTAAAAAAAATGACCACAGGTCATATGCTGATACTACCTTTCACATGGATCAAATCCGATTTTCTTCCATTCCCCATGGGAATGTTTTGCTGAATAAAGGAAACTGATCTAGTTCGAACATATCATTTCATAGATTAGTCTCGTCATATGGTATTTAAATTATCTAGTTAAAACTGGATACAATCTATATTTCACCTTTGTAAACAAGACAAAACTACCACCTCTCTTGGAGCAGATTCAGGAAATTTGAAAATGACTCTTCTACAAACCTGCCACCTTAATCACTTAAAATAACACCACCAGTATGCTGCCCTCTGATGTTCCCACCTGCCTGCGACATAACCTGCTGCCAGCTTGTCAAGACTGAAGACCTCCAAACTCCAAAAGACCATTGCAACAGAGCCGCCTCCTGATTGTCGACTGTCACACGAACATCTAGCTGCTGGGTTTTGCCCTGGCACTCGACGACTATGGACACTACTCTCGAACGCTATTCTTCGCCCGTCTCTTCTTCCCAGCTCACCCCATATGGGGTCTTGCCTAAACTATCTTGATCTTGTGCCGGAGATTATGGACCTTTGAAGATGTACGTTTTTAAACCCTCCCCCTCCTTATCACCATTGGATTTTCTCATATGTACCCTGCGCATGTGCGTTTTGGCGTCCACCCAGTCCGTTTTGCCTTATCAGTCCTCCTCACCACACCAGTCTTCAGACCCACGATCGTATAAGCTACTGGGTTAAGCCCTGGTACTATCCTTTCCACTCAACCTTCCTCTCACGGAGCTACTCTTCCACTATTCCTACTTCCCCGCTCACCTTACAAGGGCGTTTCCTATACTCTCTTGTTCTTGATCTTGATCTCGGTATTTTAGATATTTTCTACTAACAATAAAGTTATTTAACATATCCTGTGCGGCTTCTTTTTTGAACCAGTTAGACGAAGATTTTGGATAATTTAAATGTTTGTTAGTCTTATGAATTAGTAATTTACTGGAAAAATTCTGTCGACTACACGAGGGTCTGAGGCTGCATGCAACTTGTGCATCACAAGTCAAAAATACTTTTAGGGACTGAAGTAACGTGTTTTCATACATACATTACAATGAGACATGCGTATATATGTGTATATATCCAGTCTAGTCGTGTAAAGTTTTGTGGAAATTGGACTTTATTTAGAATTGTCCCAAGGACCTCAAATTTTTCACCCCCTCCAAAATAGGAATTCCTGATTATTATTATTATTATTATTATTATTATTATTATTATTATCTTTCAGGGGGCAAAGTACACAGGCTGCCTTAGCGGATGCTTCACGTACGATCTGTGCCTCAGGAAAAGTCGGAGCAAAATTAACGCCTCTGCTCATCATGTTTGTTATGCTGAGTGTAAAAGAAGTAAGTTTTAGAGACAATGTTTTGGCATCACAGTTACTACTGCATCACATAGCGTCACGTGTTGCTCTATCATCCACATGGTATCACGTGTTTGTCATCCATATACTATCACGTGTTTATCATTCACATGACTTCACTTGTTTATCATTCAGATGCCATTACGTGTTATCATTCACATGATATCACGTGTTTATTATCCTCATAGTATCACGTGTCTCATTTATATGACATCACGCGTTTCACTAACATCTGCATTGCATATGTTCATCTTATTCATCCATCAAATATCAAACTGAAATATTTTGACAGATTAGGTAGTTCATCTGAAACTTGTGGCCCCCTCCAAAGGAAACAGTGAAATATATCTATGCAAATTCTTTGACAGGTAAATGAAGGTATTTTATATTACATAAACTAACATTATTAGTGTTAGTCTTAATATAAAAAATATTTCACGTCCACAGCAGGACTCGAACCTGCATCTCTGTATCAGAGTACGCAGTACTTTACCACGTAGCTAAACCCCGGTTTAGCAATTCCAGTGGGTTAACCCTGTTTTATAGTGTCACTCCCGTGTCATAAGTATAGATTTCTAACCTGGTGAAGTTTTCCCCTCTACCCAAACTTTTATTGTAATTTCAAAGGAAAGCTAATAGAGTTAAGATTACAGGCAAGATGATGTGAATTTATATTGCTTCTAATTTTTTTAATCACCATGAGCAAAGCTGCATCTTTCCGTTCCATTTTCTGTTTCATCAAGGATACTATGATGATAGTCCTGCAAAATAATATGCTATTTTATTAACTCATTTGACGGATATTTTGGAAAAAAATCACTTGTGAATTTCCTGACACCTTTAATTTACGGCCTTTCAAGAAGGTACCGATATCTTTTAGTCTTGGAGAAAGATTTTTTCCTCTGGTCCCATAAAAATAATGGTCAGCTGTCATTGTTGATGATTATTCCATAAATAAACTGATACTCAAGAAATAGTTTTTGCTTTTTGAACTATTGATCGTTTGCAACAGCTTATTCGTATTTATAGTACATGTAAATTATTTAGTGTTTTCGCTAGTACCATTGACATTAAATAGTATCTGCACTCTTCTCCTTTGCTAACAGAATGTGACAAGCTTTACGGAAAAGTATCATCTAAATGGTCAGTTTGCATCTCCGGCTGTGATAAACTCAGCCTACAGCTTAAAAAGGTAAGAATGTGATGGTTCCTGCTATTCTAGTTCTGAGGCAAGTGTCAAACTAGGCCGCCTAAATATTTTCTTATAGGAATAAGAACTAAGAAAAAACGTTGACAGGTGTGTTTTCAGTGTAAGTAGAGGTGTGTAAGATTTACGTCCTATCTTACGCGTTAATGAATCGGGAAAGCTCCAGTACTCCTGTTCAAGTATGAAACATTTAAACGATTTATGTGTATCAGCTAAGCCTCGGAATAATTTTATTTGTTTTTATCAGATGCACAGGTTTTTTAAATTGTTTGATAAATTTAACTCACTCATTTGGTTAAATTACGTATGATTCGACAGGAAACAGGACTTGTGTTTCTAGACGTGGGTCTCAGTCACATGATGACCGCCACTGAACGGAGCCTTCTGCTGGCTTAATGGTCCAACCCTTTTAAAATTTAAAAATATTACCCCTAGTTGGTTTAAATGCTACGAGATATATCAAAATGCATGGATATTTAAAACTATCTTATTTGGATATTCACAATTCTGTAAATAGAATATGCGTGTTAAAGACAATGGCAGATATTTGATATCTATGTCATGATTTTTAAAAGCATTAGTAGCTGAACTAAAAAAAAATGTTTTGCCCAAAATTAATTTCGAAATTGTACCTTACTTTGTTAAAATTGTAATATATTTTAATTATTATAATAGTGGGGGAGAGCTAAACCCGTAGGATTAGACAGCGCATGTGTGGGGGGGGGGGGGTGGAATGGAAGGTACTCAGGCTCAATTCAGGGAACTAGGGTACAGATCCAATTCCCTAGATCACGAGCCCCTCACCAGCGCCAAGGAACCTCCCTTGAGGGGAATATATTTTAAGCTTACTAAATGTATTAAATTTCAGTCCAAATTTAGTATTATTTGAGATTAATGAAATATACTAATTTCGTGATGTTCAGACTGATGTTTTTGTGCAGTTGTTGCAGTAGTGAATTTGTAATCTGCATAATTGACAGTATTATTATAATCACAACTGAGCACTAAACCCACTTAATTGGCAAAATGATCGTTGCTTTATACCGCAAGCTTGCAAGCTTATGTTTACCAGAGAGAGGGGGGGCTACATAATTTCATTACGTTTATATTCTTGTTCTGTTTTATTTCTTCAAGAAAGGTTCCTTGATGCTGGTGAGGGGCTCTTGATCTAAGGAACTGGATCTGTGCTCCAGTTCCTTGAATCGAATCTGAATGTCTTCCATTCTCACAGGCATTGTATGACCCCTAAGGGTTTAGCTCTCCTCCATTATTTTAATGATAGTAATAATCTTCACCTGTAATATGAACAATAATGGTTTGCACTTGCTTCTCAAATATCTTTTAAGTACCATCAACATTTTGATTATGTTGTGATTCAAATAAGGCACCTTATTGCATGATAGTCGAAAAAAACTGTGTGATGATTGAAAAAGGCAACATATTTTGTGATTGTGGTGGGGCTTATGTGAATGGAACTCGGAACCTGTTGGAAGGACTGAGTTGAAATATAGCTATTGCAGCTCGGTGGTAAGAACGTTTGGCTCAAACGATAAGACCAGCGTTCCATCCCCGATGAATCCAGACCTATAGGCAGATTTCCTTACATCTGTTACCCTTATTCACTTGGAAGTGAATGGATAGTGTACCTTGTTATGTGAATATATGGCTATAAACCGACGAATGGTGGTGTAGAAAAATGTAGAAAAAAGAACCTTTTTATTTTTTTATTAAGTTTTGCCCACGTGTGTATTTATCAAGTAGAGCACTTGATAAAAGCCTTTTAAGTATCTTTGTGCCGCCAGATACCTTGGTGTGAACCATCTTTAGGTCACATTCTGGGGAAGAGGACCAAATAACCATAATGGAAATAAGTCACAATGCTTGAATTTCCTGGATTAAGCTGGTTTAATAACCCAGCAGGTTTAATAATTCAAGGAAGATTTTTTTCTTCAACAACCGTCAAGTGTGGTATATGTTAGGTAAATGTTAGTTTTTTACTCTTAAACATTAGAGCGATACTGTTAAGAATTCCACTATGGGTTAAGTAGCTACAGAAGGGAGTTACCTGGAGAGGGTTTCGGGGGTCAATGCCCCCGCGGTCCGGTCTGAGACCAGGCCTAATGGTGAACCAGGGTCTGATCAACCAGGCTGTTACTGCTGGCCGCATGCAAGCTGACGTACGAACCACAGCCCGGCTGGTCAGGTACCGACTTTAGGTGCCTGTTCAGTGCCTTCTTGAAGACAGCCAGGGGTCTAATGGTAATCCCCTTTATGTATGCTGGCAGGCAATTGAACAGTCGGGGGCCCCGGACACGTATTGTGTTGTCTCAATATACTAGTGGCGACCCTGCTTTTCATTGGGGGAATGTTGCATCTCCTGCCGAGTGTTTTGCTTTCATAGGGAGTGATTTTCGTGTGTAGGTTTGGTGCCAATCCCTCCAGGACCTCACAAGTATATATAATCATGCATCTCTCTCTCGCCTACGTTCGAGGGAATACAGATCAAGGACCTTCAACCGTTCCCAGTAGTTTAGGCGCCTTATCGTACTTATGTGTGCCGTGAAAGTTCTTAGTACACTCTCCAGGTCTGCAGTGTCGCCAGCCTTGAAGGGGGCCGTTAGTGTACAGCAGTATTCCAGCCTAGAGAGCACAAGCGATTTGAAGAGAATCATCATGGGCTTGGCGTCCCTAGTTTTGAAGGTTCTCATTATCCATCCTGTCATTTTCCTAGCGGATGAGGTGGATACATTGTTGTGGTCTTTGAAGGCGAGATCCTCTGACATAATTACTCCCATGTCCTTCACATTACTTTTCCGCTCTATTGTATAGTTAGAATTTGTCGTATACCCTGATACATTTTTAATTTCTTCAAGTTTTCTTCCAGAAGGCATGGAGTTACTATTACGTGGTAATTACCAACAAAGTTTAAAAGATAAGGGCCATATACATACAAACATAACATTCACAGTGGTGCATCCTAAAGTAAAATATTTGTATAAATTCTAAATAGCATTCAAATAATGTTCTGAGGCAAATATTCATGTAGATTAAAATAATAGAATATAGAAGGTAAACAAAATGACTAAGAAATCCCAGGGAACAGATGATTTAGTTTTCATTTTTTACTTTCAGTTTTTTATGAATGATGAAGACGACGTGAAAGGGATGGAAGCTGAAGAGAGCCTTAGTGATGAGAGTTTTACTCTACTTCCCAGGGAGTCAAAAGATCCAGCTAGAGGAGATAAGAAATCTACTCAAAACTTTTCCTTCACCCTGGGAGGGTTTGTCAAAACAGATGTCGAGGCAAAGAATTTGGTAAAATCATCGCAGGTTGACGATAAGAAGGCTACCAGTGAAGAGACTGAAAAGGCCAGGAATATATCTATCAATGTCCGTGGAATTCTTGGAAACACATCCACAGCCCATGAAAAACTCACATCACTAGGATTGCATGGCCCTTCAACTTTAGGGGAAAAGGAGAATCGAGTAGTAGAGAACATTTCCCTTAATGTTCAGGGTAATATCAGTCGAAATGGTACTGCTGTAGAAATAATAACTACACCAGTCATAGGCGAAGAAAAGTTGGCGATGAGTAAGGAAGGAGGTACGGATATTGACAAGAAAGAATTGCCTTCAGTAACTGAATCCAAAGTGACCTCTCCTCCGTTTATCCCATCGGTGTCTCCAGAAATTGAAAAGCCTAAGACGGATGAAAAACGAAAGAAAGGCGAAGGAGGAGGAAAAACTGCTACAATAGAAATCACACCAGCCCCAAAAGGAAAGAAAGATGAAGGAGGAGTAAAAGCTGTTACCACAGAAGTCACACCAGCCCCAAAAGAAAAGAAAGGCGAAGGAGGAGGAGAAACTGTTATAACCGCAGTCACACCAGCCCCAAAAGAAAAGAAAGGCGAAGGAGGAGGAGAAACTGTTATAACCGCAGTCACACCAGCCCCAACAGTTTCTCTAGGAAGTGAAACCGATAAGAAAGCAGAGGTAAAGATAACAGAAGAAAAAGGGAAGAAAGGTAAAAAGGGTAAGGGAAAGAAAGAAAAAGCTGCTACAACTGGCGAAAAGGAAAAGAAGAAAAAAGGAAAGGGAAAAAAGAAAAAAGGAAAGGGAGAAAAGGAAAAAGAAAGGGAGAAAAGGAAAAAGGAAAGGAAGGGGAGAAAGAGAAGGGTGAAAAGAAAAAGGGCAAAAAGAAGAAAAAGGGAAAAGAGGAAAAGAAAGCCGGGGAGTTATGAAGGGAAAAAAACGATGCCATCCACAAGACACCCTGGCATAGTCATCTTTATGAGAAATATCCCAAGTCAGGGTTTTAGGACTCACTATTGTCTTTGTAATCAGTTCACCATGTAATTTATTTGTATATTTTTGTGCAAGGAAGACCTGCATATAATTCATTAAAGAAGCTGAGGTGCTTGTCAAACAGCTTTTGTTTCATCTTCACAAATGTAAACTGAATTATTTGTGCAATATTAAAGTTTTTTTCTAGTTCATTATACAGTGAGGATTTTAGTTTTCCATTTAAAATGAAATTATTTTGTTCTAAATCTTTTAAGACATTTAAAGGTCGAAAGTTGTAAACAAAAAAAAACCTTCAATTTTCATGTATAAGTTTTCATATATTTATTGTTTTGTCACTGCAAAATTACTGACATTGATAGCATGATTTTTCTATGTAATCTCCAGCTTGACATTTGTATTGATAAATTTTTAAAGCGATTTGTCTATTTTATTTTCCAGTTTTATACACATGAAAAATAGAATGATAGATGGACTCTGTCAGTTACTCTCAAATTAGTGAAGTTCTGTTAAAGTTCTTTTTGCATTATTTTCCTCAAACTACTGCTTGACTCCCCTCAAGGAAGGTTCCTTGATGTTGGTGAGGGGCTCTTGATTTAGGGAATTGGATCTGTGCTCCAGTTCCCCGAATTAAGCCTGAATGCCTTCCACATCCTCCCCCCAGGCGCTGTATAATCCTCCGGGTTTAGCGCTTCCTCCTTGATTATAATAATAATACTGCTTGACTTCCAAGTTGTAACCTACTCGCTCCTTGAAGGTAACCACATTTACCAATTCACTGCTATCATGCATATGAAGACCATTGTTTTAGGATATCCTCTAAATCTGCCATAAGATTTTGTTCGAATTTTTAACCCCGGAAGGTTAGCCACCCAGGATAATCCAAGAAAGGCAGTGCGTTATCGAGGGACAATGTCTTATTTCCAATGGGGTCCTCAATCTTGTTCCCCAGGATGTGAACCACACCAGTCGACTAATACCCAGGTACCTACTTGCTTGCTAGGCGAACGGGACAACTGTTGTATAGAAACGCCCAATGTTTCTACCCATGCAGGGGATCGAACCACGGCACAGCGTGTGAAACGAAAGCGTAGCCTATCAGGCCATGGAACATCTGGTATACTTAACTTTAAAACGAGCATATCACAATTAACACTCATGGAGTTGAGAGCATTTGTGGTGATGGAGATTCAGTTACACTTAATTAGTCATTAGTCAAATTTTGACACATGGTCACGCTTGAGTGAGAAGCAAAACAAAGAATTCGTTAAAGGGTAAGATAAGATAAGATAAGATTTCGTTCGGATTTTTAATCCCCGGAGGGTTAGCCACCCAGGATAACCCAAGAAAGTCAGTGCGTCATCGAGGACTGTCTAACTTATTTCCATTGGGGTCCTTAATCTTGTCCCCCAGGATGCGACCCACACCAGTCGACTAACACCCAGGCCAATTGTTGATAACGTGCTCCAGTTTCTCTAAGGATCCCATCACTCTGTACAACAGCGACATTGCTAGCTACACCAGTGAGCTGAACAATTATTACAATCAAAACTAAGCGCTAAACCCGCAAGGGTCAAGAGTTGGTGAACAGAGCCTGCAATATACATAATTTGTGGAAGAGAATGCTGCATAATTAAGGCATCACTACAAATTCCTTTGTCATGCTCAGCTATATAACGAAGCATGTATTGTGATCTAATAAGATTCTTAGGGGAGAAGGTAAGGGAAAGTAAATTAAAAGCTATAATTTCCTATGGTACAGGGAAGTGTCGCTGTTGCCTTGACAAAGTTGCAGCTTTTATGATCCATTTGGAGCACTCGCGTGTGGCAAAATATGTTGAGGGCTTATGTGCAAGGTTTTAGACGATATTGCCTGCCAATATTAAAACCAGCGAGGGCGTTTTTTTCGATGGCGCGATTTCTAATGATTTGTGTATAAAGTTTTGCATGTTTAGTATTTTAGTTTTTTGACATCCTAGGATGATCCTTATTGCTTCGTTCAACAGTTATTTCAAGCTTTCTGACAAAAGTGTAAGTAGGGGCGTGGCATAGTCAGCTGATCTCATGAAAGTAAAATACTGTGTATCATTTTCACTGTTCTCACATTAGCACCATATCTGGGGTGCAATCCTGCCACAGCTCTAAGTGCTCTCAATCAGTGTTTGTATTGGCGATAAAGTCTGTTTAGAAGTCCAAATAGAAGGACCACAAATTTGAGAAATGAATACTAGATACTAGATCCATCATGCAAATGGATCCAATGGATTGTGCGTCCATGCCGTGGAGGGAGCCTCCGTCTTCTCAGTCGAGATGATTCACCTCAAATCTTGACACGAATATTAAGTACATGTTTAAGGAGAACTTGGGTGTTGGAGAATCCGGCGTTGTAAATCAGTATATCATCAGCGAAGCTAATTATATTATGACTGGACTTCCTTGGCATAAAATTTGGGAAAACTTTAATTAGAATATCGATTAAGGTTTTGCTAAAAACCTTGTTAAGTTCTTAATTCAAAGTCTTCAGTTGCACTTCTATGTCCCTGGAACAAGGAGGTATATGCTCAAGGCACATTTCCCTAAGAAAAAAAGAAGAGATGTTAAACTAGAGAGAGAGATGCTCCCATTACAGATGAAGGTGAAGAATCACAGAGCTGCCGAAAGGGGCCAATATATCTGAAGTACGGAAGGAAGCACTGACAGGAGAAATAGAAAATATTGAACTTAAGCTTAGGGAATCATACACGAGTCAAGAAACACAGGAACAACTTAAAACCATAAATAAGTGTCCGGGGCTCAAGAATGTTCAACAGCCTCCCACCAGCCACAAGGGGAATTACCAATAGGCTCCTGGTTGTCAAGAGGGAGCTGGACAGATACCTAAAGTCAGTGCCGGATCAGCCGGGCTGTGGTTCGTACGTTGGACTATGTGCGGCCATCAGTAACAGCCTCATTGCTCAGGCCCTGATCCACCAGGAGGCCTGGTCATGGATCGGGCCGCGGGGGCGTTGATCCTCGGAATGCCCTCCAGGTAGGTAGTATTGGGCCTCCTGTTTAAACGAGATGCGGACCTATGCATGACAGCAATGAGTGGGATACTGAAGTCTCGATTATGACTCGGCGTATAGTGAGCCATTAATCAGACTAAGGGTCGACAGTCTAAATTATTTTTTATAACTAAAACTCAAAATTTGGTCAATTCAAGAATTTCTGATATAATCCTAACACCACAGGAATTTGAATTCCAGACTCGTGTTCATCAAGAACTGCAAGAAACCCCTTTCACGTACATTAACTATTCTGTGGAGAATTAGCATGGACACGGGTCATCCCACAAGGGTGGTAGTAAAGCAATTGCAAAGAATTGCAGACCGATTGCACTTACGTCCCACGTAAAAATCTTAAAAAGGATTCTAAAGATCACCAACCACTTGGATACCCAACAATTGCGCAACCCAGGGAACTGTGGGTTTAGAGCAGGTTGCTCCTGCTCTCGCTTCACACGCTGAAGGCCCGGGTTCGATTCCCGGCGTGGTGAAAATATTTCGACTGTTTTGGGTTATCCTAGATTCTCTACATATATGCTGCTATGTATGATAATCTATGTAACTGTATTTGTGTATACCTGAATAAACTTACAAGTAGGTACCTGGGTGTTAGTTGAATGGTGTGGATCGCATCCTGGGGGACAAGATGGAGGACCCCAATGGAAATAAGACAGTCCCTCGATGACGCACTGCCTTTCTTGGGTTATCGTGGGTAGCTAACCCTCCTTGGTTAAAAATCCGAACAAAATCTTATCTTAAAGAAGGGTTAATAAATATTTAAGTTAGCCATTTAAAGAAAACTACTGTATTATTACTACATTCCTGGGAAAACACTAAACCCGAAGGGGTTATACAATGTCTGGAGGGTAATGGAAGGCATTCTGACTAGATTCAAGGAATTAGAGCATAGGTCTAATTCCTTGGATCAAGAGCCCCTCACCAGCATCTAGGACGCTCTCTTGAGAGTTAAAGAAAACTCAACCGTCAGCTTTCATAGAAAGTTGAAGTTCTGCGTTTCAGCATAAACTATGAAAAAAATATAATATTGTGAAACTATTATGAATACACACACAAACTTAACTATAATATCAAAAGTTCGAGAAAACATTGTAAGGAGGAAGTAAAGATTTTTTTCTCTAGAGGATTATTTCCCCAGGATAATGAAAGAAAGCTAATTTTCTATTGGGGTCCTGTTGTGGGTCGCATCCTCAGGATGCGACCCACAACAGTCGCTTAACACTGACAAAATGGTAACTAACATTAGCTAGGGAAAGACGGCCAACGTTTCCACTCGTCTATATACAGTACCCGGGTCCTTCGATTGTGAAACGACAGTGCTAAGAGCACTTGAGCTACAAATGAAATATACTGAAAAAGGAAGATTTGTCAGGGAAAAACCCACAGGGATTTAGGACGGGAAAGCCTGTCTATACCTGGAGTTTACCTGGAGAGAGTTCCGGGGGTCAACGCCCCCGCGGCCCGGTCTGTGACCAGGCCTCCTGGTGGATCAGAGCCTGATCAACCAGGCTGTTGCTGCTGGCTGCACGCAAACCAACGTACGAGCCACAGCCCGGCTGGTCAGGAACCGACTTTAGGTGCTTGTCCAGTGCCAGCTTGAAGACTGCCAGGGGTCTGTTGGTAATCCCCCTTATGTATGCTGGGAGGCAGTTGAACAGTCTCGGGCCCCTGACACTTATTGTATGGTCTCTTAACGTGCTAGTGACACCCCTGCTTTTCATTGGGGGATGGTGCATCGTCTGCCAAGCCTTTTGCTTTCGTAGTGAGTGATTTTCGTGTGCAAGTTCGGTACTAGTCCCTCTAGGATTTTCCAGGTGTATATAATCATGTCTCTCTCCCGCCTGCATTCCAGGGAATACAGGTTTAGGAACCTCAAGCGCTCCCAGTAATTGAGGTGTTTTATCTCCGTTATGCACGCCGTGAAAGTTCTCTGTACATTTTCTAGGTCAGCAATTTCACCTGCCTTGAAAGGTGCTGTTAGTGTGCAGCAATATTCCAGCCTAGATAGAACAAGTGACCTGAAGAGTGTCATGGGCTTGGCCTCCCTAGTTTTGAAGGTTCTCATTATCCATCCTGTCATTTTTCTAGCAGATGCGATTGATACAATGTTATGGTCCTTGAAGGTGAGATCCTCCGACATGATCACTCCCAGGTCTTTGACGTTGGTGTTTCGCTCTATTTTGTGGCCAGAATTTGTTTTGTACTCTGATGAAGATTTAATTTCCTCGTGTTTACCATATCTGAGTAATTGAAATTTTCTCATCGTTGAACTTCATATTGTTTTCTGCAGCCCACTGAAAGATTTGGTTGATGTCCGCCTGGAGCCTTGCAGTGTCTGCAATGGAAGACACTGTCATG